TAACGGGGAAAAGGTCGTCCTTCTCATAAGGGACGAATGGAGTGGATTCACATGGGTTCGCTTTCTTAAGTCTCGTAAGGAGGGACTACAGGCGATCACCCAGATTGCCACATTTCTTGAAAAACAATACCACTTCAGTTTCTCAATACTTCGCCTTGATTGGGAAACAGCTCTTCGCAATGCCTTCGACCTATGGGCAGCGGATAACGGCAAGCTTATTGAGCGATCTGCTGCATACACTGGGGCTCAAAATCCAGCAGAAAAGGCTGGTGAGATCATCTTCAAGATCACCAGGGCTCTACGATATCAATCACGGTTCCCAGAGGAATTATCTCCCGAACTGGTGAGAGCGGCCAACTACCTCAGCAACAGAATGCCTCGCAAGAGACATGGCTGGCAAACCCCAGAAGGATTAATGAACACTTGGCTCAACTCTAGGCCATGGTCAACCCATCAAAGGGCTGAGTTTCCTCAACTTGCCCATCTACGGCGATACGGCTGTAAGGCCTACCCTCTCACTACGACCTATCTGAGGGGGGAAGAGAAGGCAAACAAGACTGAGCCCAGAGCCCATGTGGGGTATCTCTGCGGCTACGATAGTACCAATATCTATCGCATCTGGATCCCAGCTATCAACAAGGTCATGAGGACTAGGGATGTCACATTTGACGAAACAAAGCTGTACGACCCCAGCAAGGAGGATACCAGTCTCTTTCATCGAACGGAGCTAGAGAGAGTCTTCTCTATTCTGGAGATTCCGATTCCTGATCCTCAGAGTGAAGATCTCCCCATGGATTCACGACTATGGAATGACGAAGATCTCCAGCCGGCTACTGCAGTTGGACCAAGGGATGTCAGGGAACAGTGCTTCGACCAACAGCGAGAGCCTCAACTGCCTACTCCTACTGGTTCTCCAGGAACACAACTTCACGAGTCACACACTCCTTCAGTTGAGGGGGTGGAAGAGTATGGTTTAACCTATACAGACCCAGAAGAAGAGACAGTTACTCAACAGCTGTTACCACAAACAACTTCATACTCAGATCAACCTCTCATTCAGGACCCTCCTACTCCTGAGTCAACAACCCATGAAGAGTCACCCACTCCGGAGACTGCAACTCAGGATCGCTCGCCCTCCGTCTTATCATTATCTTCTTCAGCAACGACCGCTGAGTCAACAATCCACGTCGCTGATTCTTCGGATGCTCCACCTCCTACTATAGGTACAGGGAGACCAAAAGGACGACCAAGAGGAAGTCGCAATAACTCTATTTACAATCGAGAAACGCCAATTGGTCAAACTAATCATCAACCAGAGGCAGCTACAAGATCCTCTCGCCGACTTAAGGATAGATCTTCATCAATCAGATCTTCCTTCTTCCAGTTGACAGATTCAACCAAGGAAAAGGATAGATGGGACGACTTCGCTCATGATCTAGGTCAAATCCATCGCAGAGACCTCCCTTCACCTCCCCTGAAATACTCCGAGGCAAAAGAGCACAAGTTCTGGCCTAAGTGGCTGGCAGCAATGAACGTGGAATATCGAACAGTCTGGAAGAAGGGCACCTTTGAGCTTACCAGACTGGAAGACGTCAATCAGAAGATCCATCGAATTCTTCCTCTCAAATGGGTATATACCTACAAGTTCAACAAGCATGGATTTCTCAAGCGATTCAAAGCAAGGATCTGTGTGAGAGGAGACCTCCAGCCACTCAATGGGTTAGAAACCTATGCATCAACACTCGCTGGAAGATCATTTCGCAGCGTAATGGCCCTTGTGGCTCGGTTCAACTTGGAAACCTTACAGCTTGATGCTGTAAATGCGTTTACTAACGCCGTCCTTGACGAACTGGTCTATGTCTGGTTCCCTCCAGGCTATAATAGGCCAAGATCCTGCCTCATTCTTCGCAAGGCCCTCTATGGTCTTAGAAGAAGCCCTCTCTTATGGCAAAAGAGCCTCTCAGACACACTCAAGAGACTTAGTCTCTCTCCCCTTGACGAAGACGACTGTATCTTCATCGGTAAGGGAGTCCTGGTCTTCTTCTTTGTTGACGATATTGCAATCATCTATCGCAAGAAGAACGAACAGAAAGCCCAGCAAGTCGTCAAAGGACTTAAAGAGATCTATGAGATGAAGATCATGGGAGAAATGAGTGTTTTCCTGGGTATAAGAGTCATCAGAGACCGCAAGGCTAGCAAGCTTTGGCTCAGTCTTGATGATTACATCGCTAAGATCTGCGACGAATTCGGAGCCAACAAAAGGAAGAAGCCAACAGGAACACCAATGGGCACTGATAATCTGGTTCCTAATGATCAGGAAGCAACTACTGCTGAAGTTCGTCACTACCAGCGACTTATTGGATCCCTCAACTATGCAGCAGTCATCAGTAGACCAGATATCTCCAGAACTACGTCCAGGCTCTCTGAATTCCTCGTCAATCCATCAGCTAGTCACAAGAAGGCAGCCGACTCTTGCCTTGACTACCTCTACCACACGCGTTATCTTGCAATTGAATACAACTCCCAAGGGCCAGGAACTCTCTTCTGCGCCTCAGACGCCTCTTTTGCTGATGACGTCGACACTCGCAAGAGCACCCAGGGATATGTGATGATGATGTTTGGTGGTCCTATCAGCTGGAGCTCATCTAAACAACGTCGCGTCGTCACTTCTAGTACAGAAGCTGAGCTAGTTGCCCTCACTCAAGCAGCAAAGGAATACAGGGCTACTATCCGACTTATCGATCAACTTCAACTTGATCTCGATAGTGACTTCTATCTCCAATGCGACAATCAAGCGACCCTAAGAATCCTGACCACTGAGAGACCTCAAGCGACTAGCAAACTTCGTCACATCAACATCAACAACCTATGGCTTCGCCAAGAAGTCAGTGATGGTCTCATAAACTTCAATTGGATCAAGACCAACGAGATGGTTGCAGATGGACTTACAAAACCACTGCCAGCTCAAAAGCATAGCCGATTTCTAGCCCAGCTAGGTATAGCAAATGTTGAGCAACACGTTAACGCTCTCAAAGAAGCCGAGTTAGTGCAAGCAACATAGGAGAGCAATCTCCTCCTTATCAAAGGATGATCTGCAGGTTGGATCAGTAGTGGTCACAACACCACACAATTCAAAGAAGGGAAATACCAATTTTTGGTCTTCAACACTACATTACCCTACCTCTGTCGCTCTCGTTGATCATCAGTTATCAATAGCTCTGCTTTATCCAGAGACACAACTTAACAGTTGCCTCTCTGAGGGGGTGTGACAGAATCCATGCATGCTTCTACGCGAGTCATGGACATAACCCATTCGGAATGGTCTGACCATCACGAAACAGGCCAGACTGTCATTTCCACCTGGTCCTAGCTCTGCAAGACTTATTAGGATAGCATTAGGCCCACAAGCCTGTGGTGATTCCATCCACTCTTTAGTACGAATAGACGCTCTTTTCTGCTCACTCACATATGCATATTCCGCTGGCCACCCTGACTAACCGTCACAGACCCTTTATTCAACCAGTACAGTTACCCCCAGAAGAGACTTAGTAGAAGTTAGAAATCCCGGTAGTAGTATATAAAAGGAAAATCCTTCTATAGCGAGCGGGCGGAAAGAAGTCAAATCGAAGTAGGCATCTTAGAACGCCATCTTAGCGGCTAATTGTTACGACCCAACATGCATGACCAAGAACAGGGCCTGCCCCGCAGGCTCGCGGCGGTTATAATACACCACATATGCAGGAGATAAGGGACACTAGGCACCCTCTCACGGAACGGAAGAACTATGGTACAAGTCACGTGATGATAAGATAAGACATGAGCGGCCATGGTGGGGCCATGAGCGCTCATACCGAACAATGAGCGCTCATGCCGAACAATGAGCGCTCACCCGATCAGAGGAACTGATCATTGACAAGGGATATGTTCAGGACCAGGACTTGTATATAGGATGGACTCGAGCCGGACTCTAGGACAGACTTTCCATAGCTCTTCAGCAATTAACTTCGTATCAGATCTTATGATCGCTTTCAGCTATCTTTCCTGAGAACCTCTTGGATAAGACTACGATTGATCACCGCAGCCTTCCCTTACCTTACGACTTACAGACATAGCTTCCCTGAAGCTATCCACGACTACGATTACTGTTACCAGTTCCGCAGCCTCAACTTCTGCAAACATACCTCACTACGACTAGCTGGCCGTAACACTAATGAAATAACGGTTTGGTAGCGGAGGATTTATCAAAGGAGCTCTTTCCATAGGGAATTCTGGCAGAAAGAAAAGTTATTAAAGTAACCTTTCCGCAGCGAACTTAGGCGGAAGGAATTAAACATAAGTAGATACCAGAGGAGGCCTTATCAAGAGGAGCTTTCCGTGGCAGTCGACTGGTAGAAAGGATCGTAATTAACGATATAAGCTCTCGAAGCCTCCGCTATCAAGAAGGTAGAATATATATAGTATAGAACGGACCGGATTCTACTAGTAAGTCCCAGTCACCTACATTAATAAGTAAAGAGCTAATTACCGAATCGGAACTAACTCTTTTAAAGCCCGTATGCCCATACTGGTCTATAACGAAACCTACTACTAATCTATATATACGTATAAGTACGTACAAATTAGGGTTATTCTAAGCACTAATTAGTATTAGTATATACGTTAGCAGGGGCCTGTAGGCCGGTACGAAGCTCAATAATCTTGGTATTAAACTACGTATATCTATGTAAGGAGGAAGTTGGTAGGCGTAGCCCACGATTCCTCCGTTAGGTATAAGTAGGTGGAAGGGCCGTTTGCAACGGCCCAGACCACCTTTCAAATCCACCCTTTTCTGCCGTCAATATTCCAACAGTATTATCGCTGCTTGTTCACGCCCCAATAATGCCCAACCGTGCAGACATACGGATGATATTCCTGGGGTTTTCTTTATTACGTAGGTATGATAGCCCTAATTGTAACTAGTCGGTATTGAAAAATCTGCCTTAGACCCCCTCCTTACCACATCAATATCTCCTCATCCGAGGTCCATGCGGCTCGGGGTTTGCCCTCGAAATAGTGTATTCCGTGGTGACGACAATCTTATTTGGGTCAACGTCAGGTTGATGCTGCCTTGCCCTCATCGATTGCCGATTGCTGTTAACCGGCTCTGCTGCGACCTCAGCTATGTTCGAACCTTGCGGCAAGTAAGGGCTCTTAGGCTTGTCGGTAGAGCCAATCGAGGCTTCCTCTCCGCCGGCGATGTTCTTCTCTACGCTACTAGAGACTATGTGTTCGTCCGATCCCCAAGTGGTCTCGTTTGGAATGGAGAGCGGGTGACTTCGGGGTCCCTGCTTCCCTGGGTAGCTGCCCAGGCGATAGCCCTGACTGTCCCCCATGGCGCCGCTCTTGTTTGTACTCGCATTGCGGCTCTTGTCGATGACGCTTTTGAAAAGGGGGTAGACCATGGGCATGTTGGTGAGTACTACGGATACGAAGGACTCTCGTACAGACCAGTAGCCTGATTGAGCGGGATCGGTGTCGCCGACCTGGGGAAGAAATGTTAGTGAATGTCTATAGCATCTGCAGTCTTGACGACGTCAACTTACTGTGAGAATAGAGACGCAACGGAGGATACCAAAGGTCATCTCGAGGAAGCCGCCGCTGAACATGATCATGAGGGTGACCTTCTTCCTCCAGGGAAGATGGGACTTCCACACCATCTAAGCCATGTCAAGTCAGCTCTCGAATCACCTGTCAACTATGTCTCCATTCACAACATACCGGCAGCGGGATAGCCATCAAATAAAAGTCCGTTACCGTGTTCTAGTCAAGCGTCAGTGATGCAGTGAGGATGTGTTGCAAACTGAAGGCAACTTACCATGGCCATGACAAAGGTCGTCTGCAACACAGAAACGGCAGGCATACAAGAGTCTATCTTCAGTCAGTACAATTACTTTCCAGGATGATTGTTGTAACTTACTCCCCGGTGAAGGGTTGATCTGCCATTGGTTCTGGAATGGAATGCATTTCATGAATGCGACCAGAAGACAAGCGACGTAGGTGATGGGCATGATAATCATCGCCCAGGAGATGACTCGCTTCATATTGTGAACACCATCACTACCAAACATTAGCACCGGAAGGGGCGATATCGAATAAGGATTATGGGAGTCGCTCACGTGAGACGAGAGTAGTAAACTACCCAACATGCCTTCAACAGCCATAGCAGAGTCGTGTACAGTAGAAGACCAATAACGTGTGTCTTGGAGCCATTGACGCGCAATAACCACTCTGGTGACGCCGGATCTAAAGCAGCTCGTTGGTCGTCTGTCATGCCATTGTTGGCGAACCCTTTCCAGTAAGCTACGACAAAATATGCTGCGACCGATTCTGCAGTATAAACCAGCTATCGGAGAGATTAGTCAAGTGTAAGTTCAACGTTGACTTAGCCACGATAATGCTTACAATTGCCAGGAACATCAGAGCGTCATCCCAAGCAAACTTCCTCCATCCTAACGTAGAGGCTCGACTGTAATATCGTAATCCCACCACGAGATAGGCAGCACCCTGCAAGCCCCAGACCTCCCGGATGAATGCGTTCGATTCAGCGGCGGACATCTTGTCCACAAATAATAACCTTAAGGAAAAGAACCGCCAGAGATGAAAACAAACAGAAGCATAGCCGGACCCAGCAGCTAAGTCAGACGAAAGGAGATTGAGCGGGAAACATGATGTGTAAATAATTAAGTACCCGACAAAAACTCTGAACAGATGTCGACGCGATGACCTTGAGCATGTAGCCCCGTGCGCCTGGGAGCTTGAATCGCTCATGTGTCACTGCTCTTCTTTCTTCTTAAAGGCCTTCCTTGTGCCTGTTCCCTGCTCGGTGCTCCTGATTCAGTGTTCACAATATCTAGCAAGGTCCATGCCGATCGTGAGGCCATTGCAGGGGAAGGTCTGAATTGGGTGCTTATGATGTACTCCGTACTCCGTACAGTCCATCTCTTGGGACTGAGGGTGATTAGGGCACGAACGGTGTCAGCGTACGGACTGCTCCGTCTGCTCGCATCCTCAATGGGTCAGGGGGAATATCGTCACGGAGCCCGCTCCGCTTTCGATAACGAGAGTGGCATAGGAGAACTGCCCCAGTCGTTTTCCACTCTGGATACCACATGAGGACCAAACCGTCCGATCGAAGGTTTGCTCGGGGAACCGGAGGGGCCGGCCGGGAACGTTGGTCCTCCCCAGAGCCACAGGTGATCTAGGCTCGCCGTTGGTTAAAACCGAGACCTGTGGCGCTACGCCACTGTGATTTCTGAACCAATCCGTATTGAAGCTAAGTTTTAAATAGTTCACTAATCGAGTCCAGTCAGCAGATATTCTCCTTTGGGACTGGCGGACTGTGACGGGAGGACGTCAATCATAATTAGTGATGTCTTGAACCCTGGTGGCTGGTCTAGCATAGTCTTCAACATCCAATGTGGCTCCCCTGAGGTTCTCCATAGTATATTGCATGAAACGGCATTTTACAAAGTTCCCACGAACTTGGAGCCGTCTACCCGCGTTGCGCGCGTCCGGCTTCTGTTTGCCTGCCTCGCTTGCGGTACAAATAGGACATATCGCACTTGTGTTCTGTCATATCTCATTGCGGCCCAATGGAACTGTAGGAATGTCGATCTCGAGTTTTTGGCCGCATTGAAACCCTGCCAGGAACCCAGTCGCTCGGACGCCTGAGGTGCAGCATATCATTCCATCTTCTTACGCGGCCCCGGTCGCAGGAGCAATGATCAACGCCTCGTAATGTCGGGAGCTATTCACCCTTTTTGTAACGCTGGGTTACCATCTGGAGTGTTTTCGCCAGAGTGACTCCAGTGTGATAATACAATGTGACGAGTCAGTTCGAGTTCCAACGACGGCAATGAGTGGTATTCGAGCTGTAAAAAGGTGGTAACTCTGTGGATACGGACTTGGTAGAGCACGAATCAAGATCTTGTCGTTGCGAGAATCTGCAGATAATTCTGCCCAGGGTTTGTTCCCCATAGTGGAAACTGCTGCTCAAGGGTTCCGGGGTTTGATACTCCATTATCCGTACTAAATTGGAGAGACAACGTCGTCCGCCCGCGAATAAGCGTTACAATGAACTCTTAACTCGCGCAATACCGCGACCGTCAATCGGGGCCTTGTCGCGGCAGTAGTCCGACTGTTATCAAATCTTGAAGAATTCGTTGCTTACCTCTATCAATGTGCCCGTCCCATCAACTCGTCCCTGCAACGGAAAAATGCCACGTCAACCAGCCATTTAACGTAACTGCCGGTGGGATCGCCGATACACCGCGGACTCAGGATGCACCACCGTCCACAATTTACGGTTATGGTTGGCTTTCTTGACCCAACGACGGACCCATCATTAACGGACGGGCTAGTGGGGGAGCCGTTGCGTGGTCTCCACGGGTTGCGAATTCGTCTCGCTAACGTCGGCGAGAAGCGCGTAACCTTCGAGTCGCATCAAGTCTGTGTATTCCTTGTCTGGACTCAAGTTGTACTTCGTAGACGATATCACCCGAAGCACATCGCTTAGCCATTTCCTTAACCATGGTGTTGGGAAAAAGAAAAACTGTCAGGCAAGTTACCAGCTAGCTGGTGGCGAGTAACATTATCAGATATCAATAACCCGAGGAGTTCGGCATGAGCCGGGCCTCCGTCTGCTTTTCAGCCAAGCTGGTGCTGTTTCTCTCTTAGGTCTCCAACAGTCTGAGCAGTCATTGGAACTCGAAGAAACTCGTCTGCTATGGATTTCTTGCTGGGCGCTGCGCACTTCCCCCACCCAGGTGATTTGCAAAGAGACAAAGCCATCTCCCTGCTCAGTTGGATTCAAACCATGTATCATCTAGCCTGCCCTTGTCGTCGTACTCTTGATGGGTCATCAACGCCCCCCCACGTCTAATGGCGCGCCATTTCGACCGTTGAAAAAGGGCCCATAATCCATATGAATGGCGCACGGACAAGCATCCTGCTTTTCCATTTCGGTCCTGACTGACTCGAGCCAGAAAGGGGAACAGATCGGCCCCCTCCCATGGCTCCAGGGCCCATCAACACCGAGCCCTTGTCGGCGGGACGCTCCCAGGTGTTGGAGTGACGAGCCCAAGGTCCCACCGGCGCGCCGTTGAAGACCCCCGCAGTCTTTTTTGGAGATGGTGGTACGGCATCCTGCTCCTCTGTCGCATCAAACCCATTGCTCAATCAACCAACCATTGCACCCATTGGCTTGGTCTGGCAGAGAAGCAGAGCTCATTGAATGGAAGTGGGGAGGTTCAGCCAAGAAAGCTCATCAAGGGGTCGCTCTCCCGAAGACGAGTCAAGATGCTGACGGACCCCGCGACTTGAGCATATGCGAGCCATCCAGCTTCGTCTTGTCAACGCACAGCTCACACTCTCTTTTCCTCGCTTTTCCACTCTCCCTAAACGCCAAACTCTAAACCTCAAGTTTGTAAACGCCGCGAAGCCAAGCAAACATGGCCACTCCCGAATCGAACGTAGATGTGTAAGCCTCCTCACAGACAGCCTGCTTAACATAGGTATTGCCCATAAGCATGCGCAACATTTCACTAACCTCGTGTCTCACAGGCTCATCATCGGCGCGGGCCCTGCGGGGTAAGTTCAAGCAGCGCGACATAACGGTTTCTTTTCCCCAAACGCTCGGTGCCAGAGGGCTGACGAGTGTGAATGCCGGCGCAGCTTGATGGCAGCTGCCTGGATGGCGCATTGCGGCGTCAACGCTCGTATTGTCGACAAGAGAAACACAAAGATATTTTGCGGCCAGGCCGATGGACTCCAATGTCGCAGTCTAGAGATCTTTGACTCGCTCGGCTTCGCGGACCGGGCCTGGAAGGAGGCCAATCACATGATTGAGGTATGGTTTACAACTGACACTCTGTTACCGAATGTCTCACTGACTTATTTTATCAGATTTGCATGTGGGTATGTGACCAATTTCAGCATTGGCTCATGGCAATTGGCAAGGACAAACACTCACAGCTATTAGAACCCCGGCAATGATGGTATTATTCGCCGCAGCGACAGAATCCCAGACACCATCGTCGGCCTATCACGCTTCCAGCAGATCGTCCTCCAGCAAGGTCGCATCGAACGGTTTTTCCTGGAGAATATCAAGAAGCACTCCAAGGACGCGATCAAGGTCGAACGCGGGGTCCTTCCCGAGTCCCTTGAAATAGATCTGTCCAAGGTGGACGATGATGCCGCCTACCCAGTGACAGTCAAGCTTCGCACACTCAATGAGGAAGAGTCTACCCCTCCTCAGGCTGCTAACGCGAGCAAGATCCCTGATGGTCTGTTCCGGAGCAACTTGATCCGGGACGATGACGAGGCGGACTTGATCAAGAAGGCACAGGACAGAGCCGGCGCAAGTGAGATTGTTCACGCCAAGTATGTTATTGGCTGCGACGGTGCTCGCAGTTGGACTCGGAGGGCCCTCGGATTTGAGCTCGACGGAGAGGCTACCGATTTCATCTGGGGTGTCATGGACATCATCCCCATCACCGAGTTCCGTATGGTCTCGCTTTTACTACTTTATCCCTATATGTGTTCAATGCTAATACCTGGGCCCAAACAGCCGATATCCGCATGCGATGTGCTATTCACTCCGCCGAGAACGGCAGTTTGATGGTCATCCCTAGAGAGAACAAGCTTGTCCGACTCTACATCCAGCTTAAGGAGGTCGCTCCGGATGCATCCGGAAGAGCAGACCGCTCCAAGATCACACCCGAGCTCATTTTCGGCGCTGCGCAAAAGATTCTCAGCCCGTACAAGATTGAGTACGAATACTGCGACTGGTGGACCGCTTACCAAGTGAGTTCGACATCTTGCTTGTACAGTTTAATGATGTGATGGCCTTTGCTTACACGTTGTAACAGATCGGTCAAAGAGTCGGCACCGAGTACGATGCCCACAGCCGCGTCTTCCTCGCCGGAGACGCCGTCCACACCCACTCCCCCAAGGCCGGCCAGGGTATGAACGTCTCCATGCAAGACACATACAACCTCGGCTGGAAGGTCGCCCTGGCCGCCAAGGGCATCGCGAAACGCAACATTCTTAGCACATACCAGAGCGAGCGCCGCCGCGTTGCCCAAGACCTCATCGAGTTCGACCACCGCTTCAGCCGTCTGTTCTCCGGCCGTCCGGCCAAGGACGTCCTGGACGAGGAGGGCGTCAGCATGGAAGTCTTCAAGGATGCCTTCCTCAAGGGCAACTTGTTTGCTTCCGGTCTTTCGGTCGACTACGGTGCCAGCAACCTGGTCGTCAAGGCCGGCGATTCGCTGAAGCAGGGCGATGGTAGCACGGTGCTCAAGTCTGTCGCCTCCATCTCCGAGGAGGACTTCAAGAAGAAGCAGGCGCTGGCCACTGGCCTTCCCGTCGGTATGCGCTTCAACAGCTTCAAGGTCCTGAACCAGGCCTCCGCTCGCCCCTGGCACTTCCAGGAGAGGCTCAAGGCTGACGGCCGTTTCCGCGTCGTGCTGTTCGCGGGTAACGTCCTTGATGTGTCCCAAAAGGCTCGCGTAGACAAGTTCTGCGCAGCCCTCGACGCCCCCGAGCACTTCCTTCGCAAGGCCACGCCTACCGACGTTCCCATTGACAGTGTCATCGAGGTGTTGACTATCCACTCCGCGAAGCGCACCGATACGGAGCTGCTGAGAGACTTCCCTGACATCTTGCATCCCTTTGATTCGCACACTGGCTGGGACTACAATAAGGTGTACGTTGATGACGAGAGCTACCACGAAGGCTTTGGAGACGCTTACAAGAACTACGGCGTCGACAAGCAGAGGGGCTGCGTTGTGGTTGTGCGACCTGACCAGTATGTTGCGTGGATCGGTGAGCTCGAAGACTTCGACGATTTGCAAAAGTACTTCGAGGGATGTATGGTCTTGGGCCAGCCCACTACAAATGGAGTCAATGGCACGAACGGGACTTCATTGCCGGTCCGGTAAAGGTTCATGGGCTCTTAGCCGTCGGCATCTGAGACCAAAGCGGGTAGCTCATAGCTCACTTAGAAATCGTGTAATCAAGTACTTGAAAAAGTTATAATCAACCGCTGGTGATAAACTAATTCGCGAGACTTGAATTTGACCGAGAGCAAGTTGTTTCCACCGATGAAATATCACCCAATGTGGCATTGGGCTGCAGAGCAAAAAGAATCTAGTCGTCCCAAAGATTTGACGGTCCATTCTACTTACTCATGTTCTGACGGAAATCACTCAATGGTAAGCAGCAAGTCTAGGGTCGTTGGAGCGTGAAGCTTCTCCATTCTATAATTACTTTCTGGTAATCTTCGTTCTTATACAAATCTCGGTGTAATCTTGAAGAGAGGCAACGGTGACCACTATTCGGAATGTTCCGGCCCTTGCTACCCGTGCGTTGGCTGATCATCTTCAGGGGCTCTAGCCCTGTTAGCTCTGTCTCACTAGGAGGTGCCGCTCCCCTCACTCTAACATTGAACCTTACAAGCCCCCCGCTGCGGGAATAAGGGCGCTACTGAGTGATGAAGTTGCCGAGGGATTGAATGTTGAAGTCGGGTTCGGAAGGGGTCGAGGAGGGTTCAGTTGTTTGCGGGAAGTGATGTGGTTTTAGTTGTCAAGTCGGGCACGTCTGGTGTCAAGTCAGTCCACATGGGCAACAGCGCGCATTCCCTTGAATCTCGCAATGTTTACCAGAACTTGTCTGGTATGCCAATGGCGTAGGCAGTTCCTCCCTGGGGAGCCGTTCGTTCTTTCGCAATGTTCATCACAACTATGCTCAAGGTTCTTACTTTACTCAAATGCCTATTTAGATTAAATCCTGGAGACTCAGATCTCTTCATGTCTCTGGTGTCATTCAAGCGCGACGCCTGCCATCCGATAGCCAAGACGGCGCCCCCCCCCCCCTCCTTTGCAGAATGCCGCTAAAAGATCACAGACCCTTAGCCTTAATCAAAAGGACTATGCTTCACGGGAGATGTGCGCTGCTGCCATCCGCCCTAGAGTATCATATTGAAACAGCCTCGGTCAATTGCCTCGTTTCTCATTTAAGAGAAACGCCTCGATGTTTTTCGGAGAATTAGACGCCGCTTTTCACTCGAAACAGTGAGCGATCTTCTCTTTAGCCCCTAAGTGTCGACCCTCATTACAAAGCTTACTCAGGGAATTGAGGACAGAAACGCAGCGCATTGATACTTCAAGCCACTCGCACTGACGGTTTTCATCACACCATCAACTCCCGGGGTGAATCTCCCGTGCCTTGTCCTGGTCTAGAACTCGTCGAGACTCGAGAGGGATCTGGGATCTGGAGCAGTCTTCTGCCACCAACATCACCACACAAGGCGCTTCCCGTTGAAGATCCCGGTGCCGCTCCCCAGGATTAGTTGAGCTTACTCGATTGAGCAACATCCATCAAACAACCATCCCTCCCACTAATAGCGCAAGTATGTGCAAATGAGGAAAACGCTGCGACCTCCGTCCGTCTAAGCGCTCATTCAATGTCGGTTTGGACGTCTAGTTTCTCTAAACTGCCCAAGATCAACTTCCACATGACGCTATTTTCAGTGTTCAACCATGTCGCATTACTCTTAGCCCAGTAAGCTTACCTCTTCATCGGTGATTTCACGGTCTTCCATCAGGTTTGACAAATGCCTATCCAATAATATGAGGTGCGAGACTATGGCCAGCCAGATCCCTTGATACACGTATATAAGTCGGGAACATCTTCCGCCAAGTGGTTGAATTCCCTCCTCTCATCATCGCATTACCTTCCAGAGCATTCTTCTCTACTTCGAAGCAAGGCTTCCGTTCTATTCTTGGCACCACGCACAACGTTCACTTACACTCTCATTTCTTCCAACTATATCTATCTTTTCAACACGACTCCAAGTCAAACCCACAATCTCTCAAAATGAAGGGCACAGTCTTCGCAACCGTTCTCGCCGCCTTCTCGGCTGGCGCCTTGGCTCACAAGGACGACTACAATAGCCCTACTCAAACCACCGGTGGCCAATCCGGAGGCAAAACCGGCGGCAAGTCTGGTGGCGGCGGTGGTTATGGACTCCCTGACTCCGGCGGCTCCGGCGGCAGCGGTGGTAGCGGTGGTCTGAGTGGCATTCTTCCTACTGGACTGCCTGTCGGAGGCGACAGCCAGGGTGGAATTGGCGGCCTTCTCAGCGGCGATGGCAGCGGCAACGGCAAAGGTAATGTTCTTCCCACTGGTCTTCCCACTGGTGGTGAGGGCGGTCTCGGAGGCCTTCCAGGTGGCATTGGCGGTGGCCTTGGTGGTAGCGGCGGTAGCGGAGGCCTGAGTGGCATTCTCCCCACCGGTCTGCCCATCGGTGGAGGTAGCGGAGGAGGTAGCGGAGGTGGAATCGGCGACATCCTCGGCGGCGGTAACGGCAAAGGCAATGTACTTCCTACTGGGTTCCCAATCGGTGGTGGTAGCGAGGGGGGATACGGAGGTGGCGGCAGCGGCAGCGGCGCCGGCGGTATTGGTGGTATTCTCCCCACTGGCCTTCCCATCGGCGGAGAGGGGGGCCTCGGGGGTCTTCCCGGTGGTGGCGGCAGCGGCAGCGGTGGCATCGGGGGCATACTTCCTACCGGCCTTCCCCTTGGTGGCGAGGGCGGCCTTGGAGGTCTCCCTGGTGGAAGCGGCGGCGGCAGTGGAGGTGTTCTCCCGACTGGCCTCCCTGGCGGTGGTGAGGGCGGCATCGGCGGTCTCCTGGGAGGCGGTGGTGACAAGGGTCTTGTTCTTCCTACCGGCGGAAGCGAGGGAGGCATCGGTGGTCTGCTTGGTGGTGGAGGAAACGGCGGCATCGGCGGCATCATCCCGACCGGCCTCCCCATCCCGGAAATTGGCGGAAGCGGCAGTGGCAGCGGCGGCATTGGAGGTGTTCTCCCGACTGGCCTCCCTGGCGGTGGTGAGGGCGGCATCGGCGGTCTCCTGGGAGGCGGTGGTGACAAGGGTCTTGTTCTTCCTACCGGCGGAAGCGAGGGAGGCATCGGTGGTCTGCTTGGTGGTGGAGGAAACGGCGGCATCGGCGGCATCATCCCGACCGGCCTCCCCATCCCGGGAATTGGCGGAAGCGGCAGTGGCAGCTCCCCCTCCGGCTTCGAGACCCGGGTCCGCACCACTACTGACAGTGGCGATGGCTACAATGCTCCCGCTGCCACCCCGGCCCCAGAAGACTGGTAAATAACGTAAATTGCTTGAGGTATACTAGTAGAGCTAGTACCTGATACTATTCAATTTGAGATAAGATCTTTGAGGAGAGAACTAAAGAAAGTAACAATTTGTGACGCTCTCACTCTACGGAAGTCTCTTTAAACCCGAATCCCCGCACGCATAACACTCACCGGTGCACCTTGGCTCCCATTCTCGGCTACTTCATCCACCTCTCCAATCATACTGTAGCCATCATCACCCTCCTCAGTTGGGAGATGACCTCCCCCTTCGGCACGAGTGTTGAGACTCATCTCATTCAGCCGAACCGCCGCCTCCCCCATGCTGGCGGTGTCGCTATGCGTATACCTAGTTAACCCCGGTGGCACACTGGTGTAAGTGTTTGAATCATAATTCTTTCCCACGGGCCGCTTCTCATCCAGCGTCCTCTTCACATCATCGTGCACCCTCTCCGTAATCTGTTCAAGTAAATGCAGAGTCTTTGCGTCGGGGGCACCAGAATTGGGCCCCTCAAATACCCCTGGGAGACACCAGTTGGGGTAAAGGTTGAAGTGAGACTTTCTCACTTGCACTCGGTCGGGGTGCGCAGTAAAATAGTATGAACAGAGCCTGCAGGTAGGCTTGCTGCTGCCAATGTACTTCCAGCTGTTGAAGTAATCTCTGGGATGCTGAAGATCGTGGCTCAACAGATAGCTGTGAACGAGTACTTCGGCATGAACGCGCGGCCTGAAGGTGCGCTTGCTGATCTGTCTGAAGATGAAGTCGTCGAGGCCGAATTTCTGCATCTCGAGGGCTTGCTCAAGATAGAACTTCTGTTCCTCTTCATCGTCTGGAATCATGTTCTTGATGATGGATTCCGCCGTGAAAGACCTGGATCTTGCGATTGGTTTTGCAGCGTCTTTGCCAGATGGGATAGCCGTAAATTTGAAGTCTTGGAAGAGGTTGGGCAAGCGTTCATGGGTACCTATCATGGCATCTGCTGCCTGGCGGAAGGACAGAAGCCGTCCGAGGTAGTGTCTCAAGTCGCACCAGGCCTTGGAGCTGGTCATTTCTCCGTCTTTGGCGTTCCTCCTGATAGCCTGCTCGATCTGAGTGCTCTTCATCGAAACAGCCACTTTGATGAGCTTTTCGCAGTCACACAAAACTTTGCGAGGGTCAGCCGTCTTTCACTATAGACTGGCATTCTTGAGGCAAACGTATGCAACTTTGGTATTATTGTAACTTACATTTATCTTGAATACTCCCAGATTCAAGATCGCGAGGGAAGTCCGCTTTCTCCTTCAGTCTCAAGAGCTCCGACATGAGGACTAGAATTGTGTCAGCAATCTCGTAGTATGGGGGGGGGGAAGTTGAGAGATGGATGTCTCACTTTCTGGTGCCTCTCGCCTGTTGCAATCGTCGATGCAGGCATCTATGGATGTACCCAGTGTATTCAGGTATATGTTCAGACGCGGAAGGTTGAATAACAGAATCTTCCACAACACCTGTTTGGCAAGGGCCTTTTGCTTAAGGCCGGTTGGGTTCTTGCCAACAAGAGTAAGAAGGCTTTCGGCGAATTCCTGGGTCTCAGATAGCTCATCCGCGTCTCTGTGATTGGACGCGAAGAGGTACTCTGGGCCATCGGGACCGTTGAGAACAGTGAACGAGGAGACTGTCTCGCCGCCGCGCCTGTTGTCGCATACCTGGGCTAGCTTGTCGACGAAGAAGTGGAAGACCTGCGCTTGAGTCGCGAGGGAGTTGTTGTCCACCTCTGGAATGCCGTTGAAGACTTCTTGCCCAAAACGACAGGCCTTTTGCAAGGCGTTCTCAAGGACGATAGGTTCGTAGAAGAGCTGGCGATGATCTACACCAACGGGCTGAACCTCAAGTGTGGCTTGTTGATTCATAATTGCAACTGTCTGTTTGCGGAACTGAGTAAGGTACTAAGTAGGGATAATATTGAATCAAACCGTCTGGAAGAGACGGTTGTGTTGATGGAAGGGTGATATTCTGAAAAGGCAAGACTGAAGTGGTGGAAAAAACGGCCCTTTTATAAGTGGAAGATGCTTCACGTTGACAATTTCATCATCATACAGGCATATCCAATCACTCATTCCATAGCCCCTAGAAAGGAATGCACTCCCGATATCTTAACGTTTTTCCACTTCCACCAGAGCAGCACCAACATCGCTTCCATGAACATCTACATGTTTCGTGATGTCGTATGCTGCTGTTGGAAGGACACACAAACCATCCAATCGCGTGTAAGCCTTGAAAGCTAGTGGTTATATCTCCTAAGAGCCTGCTTGGACCCTTGCCACAGCAGAGCTGCGCCCATTCCGCGACCCGCGACCCGAGGCAATGAGGCGGTCTACTTTGGGTCGCCATGCAGCACTGCCCGCAGCGACAAGCCAGGTGTCATCGGTGCCAACTAAAAGTCCATTCGTTCATATTAACATTAGCGTGAAGATCAAATGTGAAGTTTGGCTGTCCACACTAAATGCGAAGAGGGATACAGGCGCAGACCGAATTCCGAACGGCTCGGTCATCTACCTACCTTCAGCGTCTACCTCGGCTTTGAATCATTTTACATCAGATTAAGGACCCATAGATATGAGAACAACAAGAGAGTTCACCGCGGTAGGCTACGTCTCTTGTTGCTCATTCTGTGACTCGAAATCGGAGCCTGTCGTCGAGCAGGCTGTGTGGATTAAAGCTTGACTTTGAACCTCCCCAGCACCCAGCCTGTTTGATCTGAACAACCGACCTAGGAATGCGTCTATATGGGCTTGCACCTGTTGTGTATTCAGGAGTACTGGGATGGATATAAACACACGCGGGATGATTCACTGACGGTAGCTGGCGATACCCTAACGCCTGTTGGCAGGCAGCTGGCAGGCAACCGGGAGGCAGCCAGGAGTAAATTGTCGTCATTGACAGTCTGCCGCATATGTCGGTAGATCTTGGACCATCCAAAATGAGATATGACACCGAGAAAAGCAAGCGTGCCTCGGTGGTCTTCAATTTTCATCTGCACGAATTACAACTTGGCCCACTCACACAGATTGAGAAATGATGATACCTTCGTCCGGCCTCCCGCGTCTTGGAGGGCAGGATTCGAGCTTATCTTCTTTCGGACGCTTTTATCATTTATGATTAGTAGGCTTGGGTCAAATATCTGTCCTCCACTATTCGATATTTATGCCAGAATAATGCTGGGAGATGGAGCTGATACCTTGGTAAGGTCACGGCCAGATGAAAATGCACAGCTCCGTAGGTGACCTGCAGCTACCTAAGTGTTACCTGAAGCATTAAATCGGCTCAGATAAAAGTTAGAGCCTTTGGTCAAGAAGCCAGGCACTAACATATGGGCAGAAGGTGAATCGAGGATCGTGACTGCACGATGTCAGCTGCGTTATGGTAGCAACCGTGTTCAGCCTTAAGTATGAGTGATGTGAGTGATTCTGCTACTTACAGCCCCTCAACCAAAAACAGACCTGCCACTTAAATCACATTTCCCGTATTTCAACGCCTGTGAAAAATGCGGACGACGGGAGGGCGGCTGTTTCCTTCCGCGCGGCCCGCCTAGGGCCTAGTCCACATAGGTATAGTAGCTATGCCAGCTCTATTACGGAAGTTGACCTTTGAAGATACCTGGTACTTCCAATACCTATTATGTTCAGCTGGAAGCGTTCACATGAGCACATCACGTTGTTTACAGCGGAACATTTAGGGACCCATCTTACCATCCCACGGCAGCTGAGAATATTGGCTTCGGTAATTATCTTAGGTTAGTAGTAGCTGGAAACACTTTCTCGGTGAGGACGAAAGCAGGTCTAGCTGTGAGGAGCTTGATGTGAACTCTCGTTTGATGGGTTATTAGAAGTACCTTAGTTTATCTAACGACCCAGTGCATACATCTCCACCACGGTCATGCATCAGTATAGCCTTTCAATCCAGGTGTTAAATCCATTGGGGTAGGCCGAATCGCACAGTAAGCGGCATTACAATCTACTTAGCTTGCAAGAATGACCAAGTTCTTACATTCTGGGTAGTAACGGATGGCCAGTAACGGGGCGAGCTATGTCAAACCAAGCCATACATGAGGGAGTTCGTGCTGACTGAGATAAAAAAGCGTTGAATTCAACAACTGTGCTTGCTATCTATATGAACGAATGAACTCTATCTTATTAAATACAATCAAGCTTCGGTTAAATTGAAGCGAAATGCTTTACTCGCTGGTGTGGGCAGTAGTACTGGAAATGAGTGATCTCAAGTACAGTTCCAGCTGGTCGCCATATCCAAATCACCGGCCACGTACCGAGCCTTCGTAGGATAAGGGCAAATGGGTCGCTGGCTCGCCACTTCTTTCAAATCATTGTCACTGTTGTACTTTGTGGCAATGGTCTTCTCTGGTGCGATACCTTCTTCAACCCAGCGCACGATAGCAAGAACTCCGTTGTGGTCCGCGTCGTTGTGCCCAGGCACACCGTGAGTCGCCCCGGTAATCGTGGGAATCCCAGTAAACCAAGGAGCTTCTGTGCTTCCAGTGCAGTGAAAAAGGCCAGGGACAAGGAACATGCGATAAAAGTCGTCCAGTTTCACTCCCATGGTCTTGTAGACTTCCTCGTAGAAGTAGATGCTAGCCCCGCTACTGATTGTGTCGTCGGCAAGTCCATGGAGATGAATCAGCTTCCCACCTCGCGCTTTGAAAGGGGCAAGATCGTAGTTGTCGGCGGTTAAGTTTCCCGGATCGATCCTGTCAATGGTCTGCACAGTTTCGTAGTTGAAGGAGCGCCAGTTCCAGTTGATATCATTCATGACCATGTTGATAATGTATTGTAGGCCAATTGCGGATGGCTTCTCCGTTCCGCTGGCGACAAATCCAAGGCTGGAACTCAGAGAAGGGCCGGGGAAGATGAAGGTCTGGATGACGTCCACATAGTCGCTGATGAGATGGCGGAGGGTGCCGATCTGAGAAGGTGCGAGGCAAGTGGATGCGTTGTTGTTTGACTGCGTACAAAGCATTGCTTCAAGGCGGAACTTACAGGCGTAGGGGTACATTATGATGTTGTCCGCGATGCCATCTTGTGGGTCACATTGCTTGACCATCTCATCGACGATAGGCTGTAGTAAGGATGAAGGGATGTGCTTCGGATCATCGGACGGTAAGTTGAGGACCCCTCTTTGAACACCCGCTGCACCCAGACGGGTAGACCACCAGGCAGGTGCATTTACTACAACGGCGTCAAAGTCTTTAGGAAACTCTTGGACCTCCTTCAGACCCTGGCGGCCACCGGTCGAGCATGCAACGTAGTAAGAAAACTTTGCTGGAGAGCCGTAGTAGGCTCGGACAACTTCTTTACCGAGGACCACTGAGCCATGCATGGCGCGGTATCCCCAGTCAATCATGGCCTCAGGGTTTCCAAGAGCCCAAGACGTGTCTCCGAATCCTGAGATATGGCCCGTGTCTGTGCCTCTGTGGTCAAGGACGCGAAGCCGTAGTGAGAGAACATGCCAATGTACGACCAATTGGTGAAACCCCCGAAGCCACCGTTTCCGGTGGCCATGAATCGCGAGTTCCATGCCGTTGGCAGAAACATGGCAAAGCTGAAAGAGCTGGTGTTGGATGAGAGGACTTTGATGCCAACAGCACAGCCCTCTGGAAGCCCGGTGGCGTTTGCAACGGCTGCTTCGTCGCCGAAGGTGCCATTTTGAGGGACATGATTGACGTAGTTGATGGAAGCGTAGGGAGGTGAGATGCCTGCAATGATGTCTACAGAACACCTAGAAGGTTGAACCGGATGGAGCTGACACCCAGAAACGGAGATGCTGGCAAGAAGCGCAAGTATGAGCGCAAACATCTTGAGCGCGTTCCTAGACTGAGAGATGTTGGAGAAAGTGATAGTTTGCTTGTTCATTCATTATTACAGCTCCAGTGTCATCTTTAGCTTTCTTATATCCATTCATCTTTCGTTGGGCAACCAATTCATCGTCGAGGCCGCGCTCACGATTCTTCCTGGCGGTGTTCGCCGGACGGCAGCCCAAGAAACCGATCGGTGGAGCACTGACACCGGTGCCGACCTCAAAGGCGTCGGAGTCGAGCGACGGAGGGGCAATTGACGACACAGACCACGGAGCAATTTGGTCTGCCCAATCACGATGTTCAAAAAGCAACATGAATCGATCAAAGCTAAGAAGTATCCACAACGGAGCACGCACGTACAACAGTTGCCAAGGCTTCGTCGGAGTCTTCGAAGAGTCCTCACTAGGTCTTCTTGACCCAGTCATGATCCAGTCCTGAGCGTGGTCTTCATTTGCAGCTTCTTCAAGCTATGGCCGCATGTAAAAGCGAGTCCGACATTGAGGAAAAGTGGTACATCATTCTAATGAGAGCATACACACAAAGGCTATCATTAAATACATGTGTCAGGCCCATCCCAGTACACTCGTTACAACGATTGTCACACTATGCCTATGAGACAATATGGTCTTACACAAGCATGACTAAGTTTGGCAAGGATATGCCAGCATAAAGGGTCTTCCACTCACTATATAGATAGTCGGGATATTCCCATAGCCACTCGTTCTTCATACTCATCAATACATCCCATTGACCCCCTACCTGACAATCGCTGCCCAACAACATGTACTTACAGTAATATTCGGGATATTATTTATTCTTTGATGTGATTTCTAATACCCAGCACGGTAAAGTGCTTATTATTCTTTCCAACTTGAGATCTCAGGCAAAATACACATATATCTATGAAGCCACCTAGGTGTTACGGCCAGCTAGTCGTAGTGAGGTATGTTTGCAGAAGTTGAGGCTGCGGAACTGGTAACAGTAATCGTAGTCGTGGAATAGTTTCAAGGAAACTATGTCTGTCAATCGTAAGGGTAGGTAAGGCTTTGGTGATCAATCGTAGTCTTGTCAAGGTAGTAGCTGAAAGCGGATGTTAATCCTGATACGAAGTTCATTACTAAAGAAGCTATGGGAAGTCTGTCCTTGAGCCCGGCTCAAGTCCATCCTATATATAAGTCCTGATCCTGTCTGAACATATCCTTTATGGTTAGGACCGATATCACCGTGTCGGTTCTTAAGGGGTAGACCGCCCTTATCATGTCGGTCCATGTTCAGGGACCGCTTATCGCCCGTCGGTCCTTTTTATCATTACGTAACTCATCCATAGTTCTTCCGTTCCGTAAGGAGTTTCCCGAGTTCCCGGGGTTTCCTGTATATATCTAGTAAATAGCCGCCGCAGGCCCGCGGGGCGGGCCCCCTAGCTTTGTTATGCATATTGGGTCTTAATAGGCGTGTCTATAAGTCGTAAGATAAGGTAGGTAAGGCTCCGGAACGGTCCTGTGTTACAACCCAACATGCATAACAAGGCCAGGGGGCCCGCCCCACAGGCCTGCGGCGGCTATCTACCTGATATACGCAGAGAATCCGGGAACTCAGGTGACTCCTCATGGAACGGAAGAACTATGGAACGAGTCACGTGACGATAAGGAAAGTGAGCACACGATAAGGTGATCACAGTGATCACCCAAAGTGAGCCTGGCAGACAGCCCTCGCCAGGGTCGGCTACGAACCTAATAAGACCAAAGAAGAACAGGCCCTCTCCTTTGCAGGTAGGATGGCAACTTTCTCTAAGCGGGACATTGTTGTCTATACTGACGGGTCCCAGATGTCGGACGGCAGCAGCACCTCCGCCGGAGCAGGCTGGGTAGGGTACCAAGCTACACGGCAGATCTTCCGCGGATCCGAACCACTCGGCTCCTAAACTGAGTTGTATGATGCGGAGGCATATGCTGCGTATCACGGCCTGATGGAAGCCACCCGGGTTCCTACGGCTCGTATAGCAGATAACGTCTACATCTGCCTCGATAACCTCGTAGTCGCGGCTAGACTATACTCCTAGAGCATAGGAAGCAGCCAGGCTAGATTTAGGGCCTTCAATAGGCTCTCTTCCTCCTGGACTCGGAGACAAAGAGAGAGCTGGACAACCCCCGGCAGGGTTTATGTTTGGTGGTGCCCTGGGCACACGGGAGTACCAGGAAATGAAGAAGCGGATGCTCTAGCCAAGGAAGCCTGCAAACTAATCCCAAAATCACAACCACAGCCCTCATTAGCGCACCTAGAAAGGCAAGCTAAAGCAGCTGCCTTCCAAGCCTTTGCCAGAAAATGGCTGTCCCAATGCCCTCGGCAATATGCCGACCTCGAGATGATTCTTCACCCCAAGCCGCCCGAACTCCGCCTCCCTCGGCACTTACTAGGAAGGCTATACGCAGCAAGATCCCATCATGGAGACTTTGCAGCATACCACGAGAGATTCGCTCATCAAGATGCGTTGCTCAACTGCAGCTGTGGGAAACCCAAGACACCAGTCCATTTCTACTTCTGCAAGCGTGGACGCAAGGCTACACCGCGCTACCTCCGCCAACGTATGGCCAAAGCAAGTATTGATTTCTTGTTAGGTTCCGCTAAGGGAGCCTCTCTTCTATGCGAATGGATAGAGGAGACCAATTTCTTTTCCGAAATTTGCCCGAGTCATTGAACAGGAACGTTAGGTGAAGACGGTAGCCTGTAATATAGTTTAGATTAGTATAGACCATGTCGGCATAGCGCCCGGCACGTCCTTTTGTTACCAGACGTTAAATACATCATCATCATCATCACCCAAAGTGAGCGCTCACCAGTATCCACTTAGTGATCACCAACGAACATGGTGATCAGGCAACAAAGGATATGTTCAGGATCAGGACTTGTATATAGGATGGACTCGAGCCGGGCTCTAGGACAGACTTCCCATAGCTTCTTCAGCAATTAACTTCGTATCAGGATTAACATCCGCTTTCAGCTACTACCTTGACAAGACTACGATTGATCACCGAAGCCTTACCTACCCTTACGATTGACAGACATAGTTTCCTTGAAACTATTCCACGACTACGATTACTGTTACCAGTTCCGCAGCCTCAACTTCTGCAAACTACCCCTACGACTAGCTGGCCGTAACATAGCTGGCCGTAACACGAGGGAAACCTAGAATCCAAAAATAGATATTTCTTATTTAGAATCTAAAGATAGACGTACTAGCTTACTAAGTCTAGAATAGAGGAGGCTAGTTTACTTAATAACTAGATAGGGTAGTACGAATAGCTTTATCTTAGTAATAAGTTAGTATAGTTAACTAGTTAACTTAGTTAACTTACTTAACTTTAATAACCAATTTAATTAACTGACGAGTAAAAAGGTAATTAATCAAATTAATTAACTGCTCGAGGGCATTTTGGCAATCAATCAACTGGAAGGCCAGATTTGCGTTGATTGCGTTGAGTGAAGCGTTGGTAGCGAAGTTGAAGAGAAAATATTTCAAAATTGAAAGAAGGGAAATTGAATTTAATGACAGAGTTGTATCTGCAGTGATGCCCAAAGTTCGGATACACATGCTACCACAGTTTGAGTAAGACCTGAACCGTGTAGGCCCGTCAGAGAAGCATCAGGCCTCAAGGGGCAGCACAGTAATGGCAGGCGTCTGCCAAATATCCCAGTCCTCTGAAACTTCTGGAACGCCAAAAGGCCGCAAAGCAGCAATGCGAAATCTGTTTGAACATGGTTAGCATAAGGTCAAATACCCAGGCCTTCTGCTAGCTACAAGACTTTGGGGTTCTTACTTGTATGATCCGGATTGGATGTGAGATCCATCGGCAAACCTTCCGAGCCAGTAGTAGATACCTCCTCTTGCACGAGGTTGCGAGTAGAGCGGAAGGGAGAAGATATCGTCCTCATTATCTTCACCTGGGATGAACCAAGCCGAGGTGGCAGTTCCGTTCCAGGCGGTTGCCGAGCCGACGAACCCCTTCTGACCTGCGACAGGAGGATATGACCATTGCGTCTCGCTGTAATTGCCCGAGAAAATCTGTTCAAGACATTAACTGGATATCCCCGGGCTCGCTATGGAGCTGTCTTGACTTACATCCCAGCGGAACTCCTTGGTTCCCCATACAAATTGGGTGAACAGTTTCGGGAAGTCTTGCGCCTCTCGGCTGAGGTTGAAAGTGAAGCTAGAAGACGTATGTCAGCTTCTGTTTGAGATATAGACGTGCGCTGTTATCCGGCGACTTACTTGGACTTCTGGTCGAGCTTGATGCCGTTTACGCCAGACGTGAGGTAAGGGTTATTCCATCCGTAGTCCCAAACGTTTTCAATAGTCTCTTTCAAGTCGCAAGCAACACCTTCAAGTTTATTAGCTTCAAAAATTCGGAGTCTCGCGCGACAGTGAACTAACCGAAGTAAGGAATCCCGAGTTCTTCGCCATTGCTGCCGCTAACCAGGACCTTGCCGCTGTACACTGGCAACTTCGTGGCGTCCGCTCCCTCGGGAAGGCTGAAAGTGAACCTGGTTTCTTTGTCAGCCGATGTATTATGAATGCAAATCACAAGGTAAGATGAGATCATACTCTGTTGCCTTAGTCTCGCCAGCCGCGATGGTAACCTCCTGGGGCAGGGCAACCTCGGGAGTCAGCTTGAAGGGGTCGAGATCCGCGTAAAGAGGGATGCCAGGAACAGCAAATTGAGTCTGTCCAGGGACAGAGGGGGTATACGCGGTATATCCACCAGCATCCTGAAGCGAGAACTTGTACGTAACTGTCTCTGTGCCGCGGTTCGTAATCTCCACCGTGTGTGTGCCCTTGAAGTGCGCAGTATCATTGAGCTCAAATTTGCGGCCGTCGAAGCTCAGTTCGGTAGTATACGCAAGAACCTTTTGCGCATCAACGAACCCGCCACCCACTTGGGTTGTCGGGGCCCAGAAGCCGTAGTCGGTCGCGGTAGTCGCCCAGTCAGCCCACGGTACAGCACCAGCAGTCGACGTGATTCGCGCAATTAGACGGCGCGCCCACTCCGGATCATCTTTGTGCGCGGCCCGACCTCCGAACTTGCCTACCCAGAGAGCGGCGACACCGCTGATGTAAGGCGTCGCCATACTCGTGCCACTCAGCACGCGGTACTCGTTCGTCGGGTAGGTACTGAGGATCTTTGTGCCAGGGCCGGCGACGTCGGGCTTGAGGGCGAGGTCGTAGGTGCTGCCCCATGAGGAAAACAAGGAGGGCTGTCCGCCTCCAGCGTTGCGGAGACCGACATAGTGGGCCGTGGAGATGTCGAATGAAGCAGTGACGTTGCCTCCGTCGAGGATGGTGGCAATGATGGCTTCGCCGGCATTTGCTTCGATGGCTCCAGTGAGGCCAGTGAGGTTGGAGCTTTCGGCGCTTTTGTATGGGCCGGCATCGTTGTAGAAGAGGACGTAGCGGGCGCCGAAGGCGGCTACGTTGGTGTGCTTGACGGTGTTGGTGCAGCCACCAGTTCTAACGAGGACTACGGTATTGTTGAGAGAGGTTGTGTTCGCCGGGAGAGGCTGGCACGCGTCATTGGCAAAAGAGGAGTTGAGGGTTACGGGTTTGACGGGCCAGTCGACAATGGTGTCTGGGAAGAAGCCCGATCCAGGGATGTATGCGATCTCGGTCTTGTTGGATTTGCCGCCCAAGTTGAAGTTTGCCGAGAAGGCCTGGGCGGGAAATACGCCAGGATCGGAAGATGCGACGGTCAATACGTGTTCGCCGGATGCTCCGTTTGCCATGTCGAAGGGACCATCTTGTCCGGAATTACCTGCAGCAAAGACCACGACGACACCGTTGTCGACGATTCTAGACGCGACAACTGCAAGTGCGTTCGTGGTAAAACCACTGGTTTCGCCAACGCTGGCACTGATGATATCGGCCTGGGGAGAGTGTTAGCTACACTGATTTTCTACCTCGCCGATTGCGTTTCATGGACTTACACCAGAGTCATATGCCTTCAGGAAGCCTTCAATAACCGTCTCCTCGTTAGAGTAACCACTGCTGCCGAATACCTTGAAAGACAACAACTTGGCGCTAGGGGCCACGCCGACAAATCTGGTAGAGTCAGTAACCACCCTCCGAAGTCAAAGATCTTGAAGATACCTACTGTTCACTCTTGCCGGCAATGATGCCGGCAACGTGAGTTCCATGGCCATATCTGTCCATAGGGTCGTCATCCGGTTGGGCTGGCGCATCAGGCCAAGCATCACCAACAAGATCATAGCCTCCAGCAACAGTAAAGTTAGGCCCAATGCCTCCACCCAACTGCATCATGTCAATGATTTGAGCTCGAGTTTGGGGATATCCGGGATACTTACTGCAGGATGAGTGTACTGAACACCACTGTCGACAATGGCAACAATAGCGCCCTCACCCAACACTCCATCCTCATGAAGCTTCTCAACTCCGGTAAGACCATGGACAGAGTAATTCAGCGCCGCCGCATCATCGCTGTATGACTCGCCCTCAACAGTCGGAAGAATCTGCATGACCTGCGACTTGTAGACCGTCGCCACAACAGGCTCGTCGCCGTCGTCAAGAGCACTTCTCACAGATTCAGCGCTGCATCCTCCATCGCACTCGACGGTGACGGCGGGGAAGATGTCCGAGTCAAATTGCTTCACGACGCGGAGACCCGAAAATCCGGCAGCGACTTTGGCGGCGACGAGAGAACCGTGGGCACGGGATTTGTACTCGACGATGTACCGCTTCGGCGCCGGGTCGCTGGGGCCGGTGGTGTCGTTGAGAGAGCGAGGCGCGAAATGGTGGAGGGCCTCAGCGGCTCCGAAGAGCAAAGCTGCGATGGCTGTCCCTGTTGCGCGCATGGCTGCGGTGGGAATACGGATCTAGAAACGAGTGTGAGGGTTGTCCTACAACAGAAACTGACAAGTACTTTGGGATGGCCATCACGAAGACATTAAGTCTTTCCACATTTTCATTGGAATGTCCATAGACCTTGATTGCCAAGAAGCACGGCATGTCGTTCATCCCACCTGCCCAATAAGGTCCGTCGCGCATCTCGAATCCCGCGGTGATTTTTGTCGCATTGCAGCGGGGGTGATCCACTGGGGTGACATTGAACGACGCACCCATAAGGCGATTTGGTGCTTTTTCAAGGGAAGCAATATAGTAGAGCAGGGGATGTTGATGGAGTTTCGGGACTAGCGGGATAGGGAAATTGAGGAATACGAGCTCTTAACGTTAATCCATGGTCCTGACCAGGGGCGGCTCCTGACTTTAACGCGGGATGCCGGCTGTTTGATAGGATGATAAAAGTCTTAGCCTATGTCATCACTCGGATGTTGATTAAACACCATCTTGTCCAGAGTGGCATTCTCTCTGGAGGTTAGGCGGACCAATCCGTGTCAAGATAGTACGGGTAGTTGAGGAGCTTGTCCGAGGTATGATAGCAGACTTGTTGGATTTCGCTATCAACGGACGCGGGTCCCTGCAGGCCAAGACACATCACGGCACTCAACTCCAATCTCCAACGGCCCAAGGTGCACAGGTACGAGAAGATCATCGCGAACTGACCTGGGCCAGCTAGCGTCGGACAGATATGGTTATGACTTGTTTCTTAAAATATAAAAGCGTAAAATAAAGTGGTATCAAGTTACAACGGTATGTTCAATCATCATGCTTTATCCGTCCGTATCGCCAAATCTCCTTCAAGTTCGACAGCCGACCCCTTCATCCCCTGTTCCAGATCCGACGTCCCCGCAGAAGTAAGTCGCGAGCTCTGCGTATGCTGCGTATGCATCACGGAATCCCCGCCAAAAGTATCATGATACAATTGAATGGTGCTGCCGCCGGACACCGCCCGCGCGTGGCCGTGCTTTGCTCCCCCGTTTCGCGCTTCTTTGGACCCGACGGTCGCGGGTATCTCTTCGGACCCGGGACCGCGCTGTCGGCCGATGTCGCCGCGGTTGGGACCCAGCATGCGCGGGAAAAATCGCATGGCGAGAGGTTTGAGGGTGATGAGGCTGGCGCAGACGATCGCTGTATTGAGTTCCACGACTGACCATTTTGCTATGCCTGGGCTGTCTAGTGTTGGGTCGCGTGAGGATTTTGCGACGATGAGAGAGGGTATTCGGAGGATGGAGACGACGCAGATGCTGAGATGGTTGTTAGCCGGGGTAGTATGTGTCAACATCAGAGGAGGTGGACCTACAAGAAACCGAGCGCAAAGATGAGGTATAGCCCAATTTTCTGCCGGCGAGACTGCTTAATCTTGGGCAAGATCGGTAACGGGAGGATAAGGATCATAAAGTCGGTAAGGATGTTGAGGGTGGCATTGACGAACCATGCGACGCCCTGGCTGAAGCAGACGCCCGTGACGGCGCGGTCTCAATTTTTGGTGATGGGGACGCAGAAGAATATCGAGGATAAGACGGTCCAGAGAGACACGCACACCATGATGAATAGAACCACGTAGCATGCCTTTCGGTAGTTGAGGTCTCGGAGTATTCGGAGGTAGAAGAGGATCGAAACCTTGACGCAGGCAAGGCCAGTATTATAGAATATTATAGTTAGGTATGCCCACTTGAATTATGTCACGAATCAGCATATAGAGTAGCTCATGAAAATCGGGATCTCAACTGTGGTCTAATCAACTATAGAAAAGGGAAAAAAGGAAGCCCTCGAGTGTTACGACCCAACATGCATGACCAAGAACAAGGTCTGCCCCGCAGGCTCTGCCCCGCAGGTTCGCGGCGGCTACAGCGCACCATGTATGCAGAGGACAAGGAACACTAGGCACCCTCTCACGGAACGGAAGAACTATGGTACAAGTCACGTGATGATAAGATAAGACATGAGCGACCATGGTGGGGCCATGAGCGCTCATGCCAAGTAATGAGCGCTCATGCCGAACAATGAGCGCTCACCCGATCAGAGGAACTGATCATTGACAAGGGATATGTTCAGGACCAGGACTTGTATATAGGATGACTCGAGCCGGACTCTAGGACAGACTTTCCATAGCTCTTCAGCAATTAACTTCGTATCAGATCTTATGATCGCTTTCAGCTATCTTTCCTGAGAACCTCTTTGATAAGACTACGATTGATCACCGCAGCCTTCCCTTACCTTACGACTGACAGACATAGCTTCCCTGAAGCTATCCACGACTACGATTACTGTTACCAGTTCCGCAGCCTCAACTTCTGCAAACATACCTCACTACGACTAGCTGGCCGTAACACTCTGGCGAGGCTCTAATAACAACTGCGGCGCTCCTTCACGCCTCAGGTGCCAATGCGCATAAAAGTGCTCACGTAGCAGAATAAGATTTTGTTCCTATAAAGCATTTAATTTATGTAGACATAGTAGAGCGTACACACGAGAGAAGGCCCCCGTACAGACTAAGGAATAGTCTATACCATTCTTACTAAGCAGCTTCCGCTACTCTTTTACTTTCCAGAGGGCTTCATGCGATACCTAGCCAAGTACTACGCTATATATTATTCCCAAAAGCTCGACCGGTATTCGTATCTATTATTTAGCTTAATTAGATCTTAGATCCGAGAGCTAATTAAGTAACGCGTACTTTACCGCTCGCCAAACCTCAAACAGATCTAACATAGATCTCTTTAGGTGCGATTTAAGCAGAGCATAGATACCCTCAACCCGCAAGGTAGCCACGTTACCAAAGTGCGTAAGCTGATCAACCCAGGCTTTCACTAGCTTCTCCTTATACGGATAGAGCTAAAAAGACGTAACGTAGCCGACTTCTTCAAGATAGTCCGTAAGATAGCGTTCTTCGAAATGAGAAACACGTTCCCGAAAGTTCATCTTAGACGGCGAGCTAATAATCAAATGCCAGGACTTTTAGAACTCTTCCCAGTTGTCAGTCGATGACTTTGGCGCTGCAGGGCTACTGGTTATTTTCGTCTTGGCAAGGTCGAACGCAGAGTAGCAATGCTGAAGCACCGCCTTGTTTGCATGCCAGAGGCAAATTAAAGATGCCGAAGATGGAAAGACAGCGGCTACAGTATTAATATATGCTAAGTAGCGATCTGTAAGGACAACCGCAGGTAGGCTAGCGTTATACTGGTCATATAAGGACCTGACCCGCTCTAGAGCCTAGGTATAATCTTCTTCCGTTTCGCTACTAAGAAATGCGAACGCGATATAAAAGGAACGCTAGCAAGCATCGATGCCAACTATTTTAAGAAGCGGTATACCGTACTTATTAGTCTTGTAAGTGCAGTCCAGTAATATTACGTCTAGGTAAGCTTATAGGATGGCTAAGGAATCTGGATGGGCGAACAAGACAGCTGTAACGCGGCCATCTAGTGCGAATTACATTCGACTCCAGAAGCCTTCCTCGTCAAGCTGATTGGCAAGTGCGTGGATTGAGGTCTACCCTCCACGAACATCTCGTTTGATGGCTGCAATATAATTATAGATATCCTGTTAGGTTGCTACAGAGTTTGTAGTTTGTCGTATGTATGTCCGGATATCCCTGGGCGCGACGCCAGCATTTAATAGGCCGGCTACTTTCGCAAAATCCTCCTTTATTAGCTTACGGTGTGTTGAGTGAGCAGACGGATGCTGGCTTAGGGGATGATTACGAGAAGAAAACCGTTTATCGGGGCGGTATCTCAAGCTCTATGTGCTTTTATCCAAGGATTCTTTGGTAAGCACGGAAAATTAATAACCGGTTCCCCTGCTCGTAGTTCGTCTTTGGCGCGCTATTACTTTACTTGGGGGATAATGCGACCGATCGCACGAATATATAATTGTCCGCCGTCCACTCTTCTCTTTAGTCGATCTCCCGGTCGTGAAGGCGTATCCCCTTGTTACTGCTTAATTGTTAATTGCTAATATGAGGTCATCGCGGGATTCATATTCGCTTCCAGGAGGTAGATAGTCGTCTAGGAAATTGAGTGCTGGATTGTCCGGGGCTGTTTCCATTCTTTTCAGAAACTTGTGGCCGAGTTGCTATGAGCAGAGAAACGTGTAGAATGACGCGAGACGCGTTCGTCAATCTGTGCCGCCAGCTTGCTTAGTCATTTTCACGGGTACCCGTGGAATTTTACATGCACGGGTGCCCGTGAGCCTATTGGGAGCCCGGTTAAGGTGGGGTGACGGTTAGTCAGGGTGGCCAGCGGAATATGCATATGTGAGTGAGCAGAAAAGAGCGTCTATTCATACTAAATAGTGGATGGAATCACCACAGGCTTGTGGGCCTAATGCTATCCTAATAAGTCTTGCAGAGCTAGGACCAGGTGGAAATGACAGTCTGGCCTGTCTCGTGATGGTCAGACCATTCCGAATGGGTTATGTCCATGACTCGCATAGGAGCATGCATGGATTCTGTCATGGGGCAACCACCCAGGCCGTCCCCACCTACTTCGATCGGCCCCTGCCCACAATGTAAATAGGAAGAAGAACAACAACAGCAATTATCACGGACATCGACGTGATTGTTGCCGAAGATACACCCTCATGAGGAAATGTATCACGCCTGTGATACCAACAGTTTGTGTAGCCTCGAACTCCTCCTTGATCAGTTCGAGCATGCCGTCAACAGTCAGGACATCAACAGCAACACCAGCCATGCTCTTCGCGACCACGATGGCCTTGTCGAATGCAGCCCTACTACCAGCGGCAACTTCAAAGGCAGCAGTATGAGGACCGCCAGCTGGCGCCCTGCCATTCTCGTTCGTAATTCCAAAGCAAGGGCTGATCGTGGGGAAGTCTTTGCTAACATTTCCCTGATCGGTGCTACCACTCGGTTCGCGCAGCTTATCAACCTCGGCGTTGGGGACTTCGCCGCCAAGTTCGGTGAAGTACTTTGACCAGGAGCTGGCGAGAACGTCGTTGGATATCATGTTGGAGTAGCCGTAGGGGCGCTTGGTGACGTTGAGCTCAGCGCCTGTGGCCAGGGCACCGGCTTCCCAGCACTTGATGATGCGCTCAGTCCATTCTTCCAGGGCCTCGTCCTCGGCGGATCGGATTTGAAAAGACGCTTGAGCGAGCGCGGGGATGACATTGATGCGTGTTCCTGCGGAGGTAATAATACCATGGATCTTGTCGGTCGATCGCGTCTGCTGGCGGAGGAGAGCGATGGCATTGTTGGCGAGGACCAGGGCGTCTTGAGCGTTGATTCCCTCCCAAGGAGACGCAGCCGCGTGGGCCTCCTTGCCATAGTATTCTACTTCGAAACGGTCGGTCGATGTGGTGATCATGTATGGAGAGTCGCCGCCGTTGGTGGGGTGGGAAATAAGTGAGATGTCGATGTTATGATCCTTGAAGGCGCCGGCTTCAAGGAGCTTGACCTTGCCACCAAGGCCTTGATTCTAAATGAGTCTCCGCGCGGAAATTCTTAGGTGCTAGATATCACTTACTCTCTTCAGCAGGAGTGCCGAATAAAATCACTTTACTAGGAATGCTTTTAGCACGCATGATCTCAGCGGCAGCAAGCGCTCCTCCGACAGAGGCTGTCGCGATGAGGTTATGTCCGCAAGCGTGTCTCAATCTAGGCAAAGCATCTACCGACACTAATCAGTTTTGGGCGAAGGAGCCGTATTCAAGATTAACTAACCATATTCGGCATTGAAGGACACAACAGGCCCCTCGCCTGATCCTTCAAACACCGCGACGAATGCGGTGCTGATGTTATAGATGGATCTTGTAACATTCCACCCTTCGTGGGATTCCATGAAGGAAGTAAGGAGGTCATGGGCTTTGACTTCTTCATAGCCTAGCTCAGGGTTCTCGTGGATTTCCTTATTGATTGGCCATAGCTCGTCAATGATGGAATTGATGTAGTCGGACACGTCCGAAAAGTACGGGCTTGTTTCGCCAGTGCCGTTGCTTTGGCGGGGAATTACGTTGAATGCCACAGCTGAACTTACATTCAGTGCTGCCACCAGGGCCGTGAAAGAACCTTGGATACCCATGATGTTTATTTTCAACGCAAGTGAGTAAATGAAGATGAGGCAGAGAAGAAACTTGAGACGAAGATTCTGAGATATTGTGTGCGGTTATATACCCGCTGCTCTGGACTCAGATACCGTGAAGTCGCTGTCTGCTGTTGCTACCTCCTCCCAAGGTCCGTGGTCCGGCCTAACGCACGTAGATCGATCCGACTTGGTCCATGTATGGGGCAGCAAACCTTGTCAAACCCTTTACATTTGGCAATTACAGAAAGAAAGAGCTCATCGGCTACAGGTCAATTGAGATGGGCCCATTACCTTAGGCAAGGTTAGAATTGAGAAGTAACAAATCTTATGTTGGAGAATAGCCCGAGAGCTACTTTTGATCTATCAAGATGTCTCAAATGTCTTCTGATTTACCGGCGTCAAAGGTTTTCCAACCAAGCTACCGTCGCTTCCAACCAGTTCAACAATGTTCTTCATAGCATTCAGTTCAAAGTTAACCCGCGTAGTTATGGCTGCTCCGCCGCTGTGACACGTCAGAGTTTCATTCTCCATATCTGCTAATGTCTTTGAGACTTGTGGTTCGTGGTAATGCACATCCAACCCAGCAGCCGACAGCTTTCCGCTCTGAAGAGCCGCAATCAAGGCTTCTTCGTTCACGACTTCGCCCCGTGCCGTGTTGATGAGCTGCGCCCCATTCTTCATGGCTGCGAAAGCTTCCTTGTTGATCAAGTCCTGCGTGTGAGCATTGAGCGGAGTATGAAGCGTCACACAATCTGACACCGCTAGGAGCTGGTGTAGTGTTGGATGGAAGGTGGCTTGCAACTCTTCCTCGACCTCCGGTGGTGATCGCACGACATCATAGTAGTGGATCTTCATACCTGTCAAGTTGGGGTGTTGACGCAGGGTGGAAGCTCTCAGAGGCCAACTGCAGTTAGGGGTAGAATGATGAATTATTGAAATCTGCTCCTCCCTCGACGTGTACTCCCTGCGCTGTATATATATCTGAGCTGCTCCTTTGTTGCTTGGACTCCTTACTACCTCTAACTAGCCCCTATTCGGGAGGGCTCTGACAATACCCAATGCTGTCCGAGCTTTGTATGCGAGCTTCTTGCTGATGTTTCCCAACCCCACGATTCCTAGCACATGATCGCGTGGGCTCCACGAGATTCCTCCCACGAGCCGATGCATGGCAAGAAATTGCTCAGGATCACACGTTCTTGTATCTCTCTGTGCTCTCCAGAAGTTGCGAAACACGGAGAGGATCATGAATAGTCCTGTGTCGGAGACGGCCTCATCACTGGCACCGGCACCGTTGGCGTACCAGATCTTGCGGCGGGCGAGAGCTTCGACATCGGCCCAGTTGAACCCTGCTCCCGCGGAGGCAAAGATGCGGACTGATGACGGCAGGAGGTCGATGAGTTCATCATCCCATTGGCCCATTTCGCCGCCGCTCTGGAAGTGCGGGCGGAATATTGCGGAAAAGTCGCCATATTTCTTTTCTTTGAGGGCTTTGATGAATGACGCTCGGTCGGTCTTCTCGTTGGCTACGACGGTGAATCGGTCCGTGAAAACATCTTTGTAGTAGTCGTGATTGTATTTGATATCCTCGCCAAGGCGGAGGACAATGGGCTTGATCCCGGACATTGATTCAGAGGGCTCCTGGCGACGTGGATAAACATGTAAGAAAGATCGCCGGGGCTTTCAATATCCTGGGCCAGTTGACTGGCAATGAGGCCTTGCTGCAGCTAGAGATCGTGAGAGGTAGCGAATGTTGGTGACATAAGAAGCTCCGAGACAACGATCAACTGATTCCGGTTTACGAGTGCTCATCTTGTGCTCGTAAGGAGAACTTGCTAGTCAACTTACCTCATTAGTTTGAGGCAGTGAACTAGAAGAGCATTGATAGTATCATGGTAGTACGGACAGAAAACAGTCGATGTGGTCAAGAACTCATCGATTTGATTCAGGAGCTATGACGAGTATCACTCGACTAAGTCTTTAATTACTCATTCCAAGATCGGGAAATCATTTAAGCCTCTACAAACTTCTCATTGGGAACCTTCATGGTCTCCAACACAGTTGATGCCGTTCGGGGCTCCAAACTCTTCTTGACGGGGTTCGGTGCAGAGAACACCTCCTCGAGCTCTTCCAGCGTCCTGTGATTGGTTTCCGGGAAGAAGTAGAAGATGAAGATCGCCTCCAATATGTCCCTAGAGATGAACTTAAGCATTGATGACATCATTTTGACTCGAGGCAATGAATGTAGGAGCAACTCACCAAAAGACAAAGACCAGTTAAAAGTAGTAGCCAATCTTCTCAAACGCAGGGCCAGAACTGTAAGCAAGCACCAGCGAGATAGCCGAGGAGGCAAAGTTGCCGACGGCAGTTCCTTTGGCACGGGTGGAGGTGCTGAGAGTCTCGGCAATGTACATGCTCTGCTGTGCTGTCCAACCCAGAGAAAATACGACACCGAAGAGGAAGACAAAAGCGATGGTAGTGTTAGCTGCGTTGGTGTTGCTCGGATCATCGACAGCCATCTTAGATGTACCGGTGATGACGGCAAAAGTGACGGAGCAGAAGAGAATGCTGTAGATGAGCAAAGGTCGTCGACCGACGCGATCGGTGAGGCGGGCACCGATAACACTACCTAGAAGACCGAGAATGCTGTTGACGGCGTTGAGGGCTAGGACCTTCTTTTCATCGGTGATTCCGGCTGTGTTCATCATTGTGACGAGATAGTAGCTTGATAGAGAGTTGCCAGAGGCCTGAGATGAATCAGAATTAGGACCGGTCGTAAAATTTGCTTGAGGGGCACTGAAGTTCTCACCTGTCCCATGATGGCCATACCCAGTACACAAATAAGTCTTCTCCGGGCAGAGTGGGTATTCCACAACTCATGATAATCCCACCACTTCTTATCACTAGCCTCGTTCGATATCTGGGCCATCATTTCCTTCATCTGCAGCTGCACGATAGGGTGATTGGGGTCCTTTTCGCCGTGCAGCTGTGTTAGAATCTTTGCTGCCTCTTCGTGCCGGTCATTGGCGACGAGCCATCGGGGCTGTTGAGTCTCATATCAGCTGCTGAAACAGGATCTAGGGCTCCGCTGATTGCTCACACTCTCAGGCAAGAAGAAAACGAATGCAACAACGATTCCGGAAGTGACCAACTGGCACCAAACAGGAAGTCGCCAGCCACCGTCGCCTGGGATGAAAGAAGCGCCGTATGCAACCTGTTGGTTCGCAATTAGTACCTGTTTACGAAGAAATCAAAGAGTTCAGAGGTTGTAGTTGCTTACCCAACCGGCAATGAAAGCCCCAACTGGCCTGTCTCATTGTTAGCTTGAGCGAGACCTCGTGCGGAAGCTCTCGAGTAGATGTTCTTACCACATGCAGTTGTAGAGTCCAGTCAGGGTACCTCTCCACTGTTTTCCAACTTATCAGCGAAACTCATTGGGCTATTCCTATGTGCAAGATTCTACGTACCTTCGGATGAGCCAGCTCGCTCACGTAGGTCGGAGCAGAGACACAACAAAACGATACGCCGAAGCCCAAGACGAAACGTCCTCCTAGGAACTGGGGAATGTGGTTTGCCGTGGCCCTGAAGCGCAAGTTAACGTCCGAAATCAACATCTCGATGAAAAACTTTGTCTTACTGAATGCAGGTGCCAACCTGTAATGTTTATCAGTACATGCCCGTCCGGAAAAAAGCTCGAGAGATTGATGTATAATTGACTTACAATGATAAGTAAACATTGCTGATGACAATGGCAAACCTTGGCGTGCCATATGCATGAGCCCCTGCGAGCGACTGAGAAACTCTCCTAGATTGTCTCGTGGTCCTACCCCCGGCGGCCCGGATTGTTGGAAGGAGACTGTCCGTCGCGCTATGTCGAGCCATCCAGCTGGGAGAGTCAAAGCCAACATACGACAGAGACCATGGGGTTGGTAAGGCGTCTCCGCAATCTATCAGTGTGCATGTGTGGCCTCAAAGCCATGAGGAAAACAGTCGTCTCCTGACTGGCAAAATTTGGGGTTCTAAAATGCCGGCCGAGGAACTAGCCCGGGCCGTAGTAATTATCATGAATGTTGGGAAATGTATCGACGAAGTAGTGATTGAAACATCCGCTTTCCAGCAACTCGAGATAGGAAACATTGCGTATGCGGCCAATTCTCGAACAATTAGGTAGAAGAAGAAGACTCAAAAAAGAAGACCCAAACGGCCTTCCGATCCGTGGTGAGGATGGGGTGCAAGACAGGCCTCGAAACTATTGACCACCCATTACGAACTTGTTCAAGTCAACTTGCGGGGACTGTGGATCTCATCCCCTTGTTCCAACCCAGTAGAATTGATCAAGAGTCTGAAGGATTCCTCGCGTCAAAGTGTCTGTCTAACAAACAAAAGACGGCACAGTAGCCATCTTGGCACAAATCGGAGGTGCTGGCTCTTACGTTCAGGTTCGGAGAGTTAGGCCCGAGTTATTCGTCTTTGCCCTTTCCGTAGTTGCCATGAAACTGTTGCTATCCCATTGCGACTTGATGACGAGGTGTGTCTCAAAGTCCATTTTCCATTCCGGAAGTATTTGCCCGTGACATTCGGCTCCGGCCGGTCTCCGTCGGACCACCACCCCGCATGAGCCATCGAACGCCTGACACCCAGCCTCCATTTAGAAAAAGCGGAGACTAAGGGCCTGTTTCACTCTGATGAGCGACCTTTGGTGTTGGTCTCGATATTCTGCAATGCTTTCTTCCGTGGTTGAATGGCATGATTTGAGTAAATTATGGTTCTCCCGCCACCAAGCACCTGATGCTCCTTCCTGCGAAGGATAAGCCTCTCCACTAATACCGCCGCCAGGAATTGATCTTGATTGATAAATCTGTTCAGAATTTGGCGGCTCGAGAATGGGGGGACACCTTAGGGATTAAGCTCTAGGTCGTTACTATGACCCCAAAGATTGGCGGAGTCGTCGTGAAGCAAAGCATTAAAAGTCCCCGTGCCCCCTGTGACCTATGATCCAGGAAAATTCGCTGTTAGACGTTTGGAGTTTGGCACTGCTATGTGGAAATGTTACTTGCCAGAGAATCGAATTGAGCCCAATTCGTCATGTCGAGAAATCCGACATCGAACGCATGGAATGGAGCGGCACCATCCTGGAGAACGCTTTCGGCAGCTCGACCCATGACAAGTCTCGATTCGCTCTCGCCATTCCTGAGATGCGATCAAGGCTTCTGGCAGGAGGCCGCCTGGTTCTCATTGATCTCTTTTGTCGTCGACCAATCTCCAGCTCTAGGAGTTGAGACTGATGCGAGATAGGTGTTATTCCGCAGAACCTCGAGGCGTAATTCCTGCAGGACAACACCGTAGCGCTGCATGCTCAACCTAGAGTAGTAACTCACAAATAGCGTGCTATAGAGCTCACCGGCATCGTTGATCAGATGTATGTGCTTGGTGATTTCTATGGCGGCGTCAACGCAAAGCTGAAGGTTCATTCGAATCTCTTCGTGCCTCAACCGCAAAATTTCAGTGCCTTCTTCGTGACCACTGTCAGAGATGCTACTCAGAGACTTGAGGAGGAAGGGCCTGTGGACGAGAATTTGGGCGTGCCAATAAGCAAGCTGGAGAACATCACGTTGCCTTAGGACCAACTTGACATCTAACGCCGAAGGTCCAGCCGTGTCAAGGAGGTAAGAAATTAAGTCTCGCCACTCGGATAAGTCTCTGTTGAACCTTGTAGCAAATGCAAGGTGCTCCTCAGTAGAACATGATTTGATGCCGTAAAGACTTCTCAGAACTCGGGCTACTATCCTCGAGAGCCTATTGACATGAATTAGCCCACGTTTATGATGAGATCGCAACAGCTTACTTGATTTGGGCGACCGGTGCCGAAGCCAGTGAAGAGCCACCTTCTGTTAGCCGGGTCCCATAGCCAGGGTGGAGTTGATCGTCGTCAACGCAAAGCGGCGATTCCTGGTCAATGTCTTCGTCATGAAAGGTCATTGGCCGCCCCAAAGCAGCGCTGAGATATGTATTGAGGTTGTAAGCATACCAAAAAGTACGTTTTCGACATTCCAAGTTAACGTAGTCCAGGCCATCAGACGTCTTTGGGTCCACTCGCGACTTCCTATGGATGCCGAGTGCCATTGCTAATTGAGCAGTGATGCCAAATAGCGTCCAGCAATGGTTAAGTCTTGACTGCGTCAAGAGATAGAAGCACTGTGCCAGTCGCGCTTGAATGTGTGCCAGCCTGATCTCGCCCTTTTCCATAGAGAGTTGGTGTTTCGCCACAGCAAAGAAACGAGCACTAAGGAGTAAAGATGATGAGCAAAGGTTTTCAGCGTGTTCTTGAACCTGAAAGAATGTGCTTGCCTTGTTTCTGCGCATTCTGTGATAAAGTCCTTGCTTCGTGCAGATTGGCGACTCTGATAATTATTCGAGTGGGCGAAAACCATGAACAGAAGTGCTGTTTGACTCCTTGCAGAGTCTTTATAGAGCATGGACCCGTTGGTGTCATACAACACCTCGAGCCAGGATTCTATAGTAGGGCGATGTAGAAAGCGATGTGTGGTTGCAGCAAAGTCGAAGTATCTTTTGAGGTTTTGGCGGTAAAATCGCAAACGATGAATCTTGTCCGGGCAATGGACGATCCCCAAAGTTGAAGACGGACGAGTTTAAATATCCAGGAGATTGAACTTTCAGCCTTTTTTGTATTCGAGAGAGAAACGAAACACCGGATGCAGGTCCTACGTAGTGGCCCTGTTCGTCGGTTTGCGGTGGTTCTGGCGAGTTTCCCAACGAGTCCGTATCGGGGAGATCGGGAACATCGTGAACCACCACAGCATCATGGGGAAGATCTATGATCTCACTATCTCTCATGTGAGACGGAGATTCAAATGAGAACAATGTCTCATCATTGATTCCAGAGACTGAAATCAAACTTTTGGAAATTGGTGCAGTCTCAGCGAACGAAGTCCGATGGACGGCGGCGCTGGTGATTCCTCCGCCTCTGGCCTTCTCAGAAGAGTTTGAGTCTGCAACTTTTGAAGAATTACGCCCTTCGAGATTCACAGCATTATTATCAATAGCTGGGAGAAGCTGGCCTCGCCTATCCCATCGAGTGCCAGATAGCTCCATTTTTGCCAAGGCTCAAAATACCCACTATTTACCCACTATTATCCCGTATTTAAAGGGGTACTTAACAATAACTACATTATTTACCATTAACGTACTTGATAAGCGAGCTGCCCAGACAAGCGAGCTGCCCACCTAACCATGATCACATTATAAATCTGTCTAAGGAGCAACACTAAAAACATAAAATCAATTGAAACTACTCTGAATCCTATTCCTCAGATATTTCTTTATTAAACTGATATGTTCGCGTATTATGGCCAGTGTTTCCGTAGACGCCACATCGCCGTTGACCTGTTTCTGTCCTCGGCCGACGACCACTACTCTGGCGCGTTTCCTCCTCAATCTGGGCCGTAGCCTCTCTCTGCGACTGAATGTCCTCTGCCTCAGCTATAGTAAGACTTGCTCCTTGTCTGAGACGTGTTTTCTTAGCCCTCCTGCGTCTGCTAAATAGGTTATTTTCCTCCCGGAGGATCTAGACCTCCGACCTTAATAAGGCAATCTGGTGCATAAATCCCCGCGCTCCCTTTGATAAATGCTCTACAGCTTCAATAATTGAAGTTGGGGAGCTATTTTGATGGCGGGAGATCCTCCTTTTGATGAGTTCGGACTGAGAAGAGGCCTCTGTTGGGTTATTTGGCGTCTAAGAAGTCCACGCGGGGGGTGTTGTTGGTAGGGACCCTGGGGGTGTTGGAGTGTGTAACTTGACATCAAGCTTCGAAAGCACACTTTCGGCACTCAAGGGAACAAGCCCGGCCCCTCTGAAGCCTCCCTGGATGTTTTTTACCGTTAGGGCTTGCGTGAAAGCGTTATGAAATGCAGGGAAGAAGTCCTCCTTCGTAATATGGGTATTACCCCGGCGCATCTTATCCTTAATTTGTCGACCATAAGCCGTCTTTAGTGGCCCAAAACACCCAACGTCTAAGGGCTGAAGTAGATGAGACGAATGGGCCGGCATGCAGAGTGTGACGATATTGTTTTCCTTGCAATATATCTCAAAGTCCGCAGAGTGGTGACTTTCGTACCCATCGACGACGAGGAGGCGATAACTGCTAGTTACACGCGGTTTCGTATGCCGATCAAAGTGCTGGAGCCAGTCTAGGCCTCTTTAATTTATTGTCCATCCGTTTTCAGACGTTGCGATGACCCAGTCGCGTAGGAGATCTATTTCTATATACCAGGTAGAGAGGTGATATTGGCCTGCAACGATGATGTACGGCGGAACGCTATAGCCTGACGAACTGATGGCCTGAATGACTGTAACCCATTCACGATTGCCAGGCTGCATCATTTTTATATTTGAACGCCTTTCGGGACTCGTGACGACCATCTCGGATGCAATCTGGCCCATCATAAACCTAGTCTCATCAAAGTTGTAGATATTGGAGTCTATAATACCGTATTTCGCGATTGTGTTCGCTACAAGCCGAAACTACGCATTTATCGCATCTAGATCTTCGTATTAGGCCCTCTTATAGTCGCATTTGCGAAAAAAGCGCGTCCGGAGCTATGGTTGTCGTTTAACAAAGTTTGAAGCCCAGCGCTTCCCAACTAGGGGCGCGTCGCGGTCGGCGAGCAATCGATTAGCCATTTCTTCCACACCACTGATCCGGGGAGGAAACGATCGGGAATCCAGGTCGAGGATATACTCAACTAGCTTCTCCTCTTCAAGCTCCGTCAATTTGCGTGAGTTAGGTATAGTATCTTGTCGTGTAGGTGTCGCTTTTAATCGGGTACCTAGGGTCCTAGGGGCGACTGAATAGATTCTTGCTGCGGCTCGAATGCTGAGTTTAGGGTTTTTTTTGGATAGCCTTGACTGCTAAGTTCAATTGGGCCTCTTTGCTTTGTGACGACATGATTATTTGTGGCGTGATACGCATTAGAAGTGAGGAGGAAGGATGAACGCGGTGTTACGGCCAGCTAGTCGTAGGGGTAGTTTGCAGAAGTTGAGGCTGCGGAACTGGTAACAGTAATCGTAGTCGGGGATAGCTTCAGGGAAGCTATGTCTGTCAATCGTAAGGGTAGGTAAGGCTTCGGTGATCAATCGTAGTCTTGTCAAGGTAGTAGCTGAAAGCGGATGTTAATCCTGATACGAAGTTCATTGCTGAAGAAGCTATGGGAAGTCTGTCCTAGAGTCCGGCTCAAGTCCATCCTTATATACAAGTCCTGATTCTGAACATGTCCTTTGTGCTGGACAGTGTCCTTGTTTGGATATGTTGGATAGCTCATATCCTGGTTATCTGTTGTTGGGCAGCGATTATCAGGTAGGGGGTCAATGGGATGTATTGATGAGTATGAAGAACGAGTGGCTATGGGAATATCCCGACTATCTATATAGTGAGTGGAAGACCCTTTATACTGGCATATCCTTGGCAAACTTAGTCATGCTTGTGTAAGACCATATTGTTTCATAGGCATGGTGTGACAATCGTTGTAACGAGTGTACTGGGATGGGCCTGACACACCCCCCTAGGTTCAAGTCTTTGCTTGAAGCTATTCACACTTCTTCCTGGCCCAGCAGGTGTGTGATGTTAACAAGACGAAGTTGACGAACGAATTCTCGGTGTTTTTGTGCGTTCAGTGGTTTGGTTAGACCATCAGCGATAGTGCTATTGGTATCCATCCACTTGAAAGTGATGTCTCCTTTCCGACAGACTTGGCGAGCCCACAAATTCTGTATATCGATATGTTTCAGCCTGGAGGTTCTGTGGGGCTTTTCATCTGTCAGAAGACGAAGAGTTTGACTGTTGTCGCAGTAAATAGTAGGGAAACCGTCTGGTTGAATCTGGAGATTCTCCATTAACCTTATGGTTGCCATATACTCTCTTGTGGCTTGAGTGAGAGCAACTAGTTCTGCTTCCGTTGATGAGGTAACTACACAGGTCTGCTTTGTGGCTCTCCATTCAATAGGACCACCAAAGAGCATGGTGATATACCCCTGACTGCTTCGTCGTGTATTGAGGTCATCAGCAAATGCTGCGTCGGAAGAACAGCACAGTCTTCCGTCTGCTGACCCATCGTATTCAATTGCTAATCCCTTGGTTCGGGCAAGGTAGGCAAGACATCTGTCTGCCGCTTCCATGTGCGATGGACCAGGATTCTGAAGATATTCAGAGAGTCTTGATGTTGTATGTGATATATCGGGTCTGGCAATAACAGCTGCATAGTTGAGAGATCCAACCTTGCTCTGATATTCGATGATTGTCTGTTTTGACGCTTGACCATCGTATTTGACAAGTTGATCAAGTGCCATTGGAGTCATTGGCCATCCTTTGTTGTTTTGGACCTTATACTTGGTCTCAAGAGAGTCAATGTAGTTATCGAGGGATAGCCATATCTTTTTGGCATTGATGTCTCTGATAATTCTGATGCCAAGAAACCATCGGAGATCGCCCATATCTCTGAGTTGGTAATGGTTGTGAAGATCATCAGTGATCTTTTTGGCCTCTTCCTGCAGGTCAGGGAGGAAAGCGATCACTATATCGTCTACAAATATAAAGACGATGATCCCATCTCTCATGAAGACACACTCGTCTTCCTCAAGTTGGCGAAAGCCTATTTGCTTCATAGTTTTGGTAATGTGACGTTGCCAGAGGAGAGGCGACCTCCTGAGGCCATATAAAGCTCTGAGAAGCAAAAGACAACTCTCATATTCCTCAAAGCCAGGTGGGTGTCTGACATACACCACCTCATCTAGCCAGGCGTTTGTGAACGCATTGACTGCATCTTTTTGCCAGAAACGAAGTCCAAACCTGGCTCCAAGGGCCATCATGGTTCTGAAGGTTCTGGCAGCAAGAGTTGATGCTGAAGTGTCGAGATCGTTCGGCGGTTGAAGATTGCCTTGGACACAAATCCTTGCTTTGAACTTGTGAAGATAGCCGTGCTTGTCGAACTTATAAGTGAACACCCATAATAAGGGGATAATAAAGTGTTTTTCCTTGTCGACGTTGCAGATCTGAACTCTCTTCCATGTGGCGATATCCCAATGGTGTTTTAGCTCAGATTCACAAGCAGCTTTCCATTCCTTGAAGAAGGGGTGCTTTTGAGCCTCTCTCCAGTTTCTGGGAGTTGGAGGAAGATCTCTCTTGTGCATCTTTCTTGTCGCATCCATCGTTGCGCTATGGAGTGCGCTTGTGTTGGCGGATATGTAGGCGATATACTGCTTCTGATAGAGACCTCTCGATTCAGAGCCTGCTGCCTCTTTACTTGGTTTCCGTCGCCTCGGGGATTTCAGGATGTTGGAAGAGTCAACCCCTTCACTTTTGTCGTATTTCTGGCGTCTTTTGATAACGTTGCTGAGGGGCTGTTGACCTACACCTTCCAAAGTGTTATTGTTGGAAGTATTGCTACCATCTCCACTCGTTGGAGTTGGTGAAGTCGCTGATTGGGTTGGTGATGAACCTTCTGGTCGAGGGGAGCCTTCCACCCACCCAGGTTCGATCTGATGGTCCCTATGTAAGGGTTGATTTTCTTCTTGTTGAGACACTGTCTCTTCTGTGTTGACATAGATGGTGTCATGGATTACTTCGTCTGAAGTAATGGCTGACGATGAAGATGGAAGTGGAGGGCTACTAGACATCACCCCCCCAGCCGAAGAGATATCGAGGCTGGTTTCTGTTCCTCTTACAGAACTGCCAGGCTGGCTGGATAGGCGGTTACCTAGCGTCACTTCT